TCCGTGAGCAGGGCGGGGTTCGGGGAGCGGCCTCCGGTGGCCTCGCCTCGGGAGCAACCGGCCCCGCCCCCTGGGGGGCCGCTGCCTCGGAGCCCCGCCCACAGTGGTCGCGGCCCGCCAGGCTGGGAAAACTCCTCTGACTGGACCGAGTAGGGGAAACCTAGTCACAGAGGGGAGGGAAGGGGACCGGACATCCCGGGATCTATGTGACGCTGGAGGGGGTCTGTGACAGGGTATGACACGGATTTTTAAGAAGCGGTTGAAATTTGGGGATGGATGGCTTTAGCGGATTTGTGAAGAGCCTGGGGCAAAGGTAAGGGCCCATTGTAAGGAAGTTTGCCGGTTGTGGAAGATTCAAGGAGGTCCTAGCGGTTTCAGGATACTTTAGGCAATCGAAAAGGCAGCAGAGCTGTGCAGGAGGAGGGATGAGGGCCCGGAAGAGGAACCCCGCAGCTGATTTGGCAGAGACCCCCAGGGAATGGGAGGGCCCAGATTTCCCTCCTTTACACAGTTGCCCTAGAGGAGCTGAAAGAGACCACCTCCCCTTCGCACCTCTAGAGGAAAGGGCAGAGGTAGACACCACCACAGCAGCAGGCCAATTCTGGCCTGTCCCTCCTAGGTTCTGGAGTGGTCCCTGCTGGATAGACCCATCCTGGGCTCCTTAAGTTGGAGCCCAGATTCTCCCTTTCCCAGCGGGGAGCCTTACTATGGGATTGACTCATGGGGCTGGGGATGTGCCCAAGCTGAGTGGGTGCTCAGGCTGGGGGGGAATGGGGTGGCGTGCTCAGCCATTCTCTGACCCTGCCTTAGGGACCATCCCCCAGGCTGTTCGTTACCATGGCTGCCAGGCCTTAGGAGAGGCGGGGATGGCCCAGCCGAAGTCTCTGTCGTCAGTGGTGCCCAAATAAGAAGTGAGAGGAGGAAGTGGAAGGCCAAGTCTGGAGTCTGAAGACTGGTTAGCCACCACAGGGCGTCAGCACCACGAGCCGGGGGCTCCACGTCCTGACACCGGCCGTAAGCGGCCAGGAGCTCCAGCCCCATCTGTCCCCTCCTCCTCCCATCTCCCCCAATCTGTTATGCCTTCATAGCTAGCATTTCCCAAGCATTTACCAATGTGCATGTACATCGCGCTGTGTGTGCTTTTACACATATGTATTAGCTCTTTGGTCCTTAGAATGACCCTGTGAAATAGGTACTCATTCTCATCCCTTACAGAGGGGGAAACCGAGGCCCAAAGAGGATAAGTGATTGGTGGCCAAGCTGGAGTCAACCCCAGGCAGCCTGCTTTCAGAGCCTGCAACCTAACTGCTGGGTAATGCTTCCGTTCAGCCTTCCTCAGCTCTTCACTCATCACTCACCTGGTACTGGCTAGCCCTGGGCTTCCAGAGGCTTCCGGTCTGCACAGGGAGTGGTGCATTGTACTTGTGCTTTGTCTGGAGGGGCCAGTGGCCACATCAACCTGGGAAAGGCTTCTGTCTGTCTCCTTGGCTATCTCTTTCCCACCCCCAGACCCCTGGGCCCCCAGCAGTACAGGAGGTGTGTGTGTAGGGGGCACTTCTCCACCTCTCAGTGATTGCAGAAGTCCAGATGGCAGGGTGCTTGTTGGTGGGGGGCAGGGGTGGAGTGGGGACCGCCAGGAGCGAGAGCTAGTCCTGTGCCTTCTCCCTCCTCCACCCCCTGCTTGGCACCACCAAGTGGCCATCAGTCGAGGGGCCGAGGGGGTGTTGGTGGGGAAACATGGGCCTCTATTGTGAAGCATTAGCACAGATGGACCCCTGGACCGTCTGTCGCCTGTTCCCGACAGACGGCTTCTGTGGGGGGGATGGGGGCGGGGTTGGGAGGCGAGCAAAGCAAGAGGCAAGAGGCATGATTTCTATTCTGTTCTCTACAGAGCTTATCCCTGAGGGGACACCTGAGAGAGGGCAACCGGCACCACCTTGTCTGGGAAGGAACTACCACCTATATACCAGAGGGTTACCCAACAGACTCGGCTAATGTCTCTGTTAGGACATCCCTTCTGTGGGCTGACATGGGGGCGACCTCTCCCCCATTTCTGCAGGTCGGTCTGCCTCTCTGGCTCCAAGTGAGCTGAAGTTCACACTGTTTCCTCCTCCTGTCAGGAAGAGCCCAGAGAACTGCGGAGAAAGGGTGGGTCCAGAAATTTAATTTCTTTCAGGACCCTTGCGTGATTTCCTGAAATTTTGGTTTCCAGAGCTAGAAAGGGCATTATGATCTCAAAAAGATCCCGTGTGATCCAAGCCATTATTGAACAGAGGCAGCAGAGCCAGGGAGGGAAAGACAGTGGCGGAACATAGAAGCCTGAGAACCCAGGTCTTCTGTTTAACTCAGCTGCTGAGACCTCAGAGACCCTGGCCTACTTCCCCTTCCCGAACTCCCCAACTTCTCCTGGGAGGGGAGGGAGAGCCTAGATGCCACACTGTGGAGTGGTGATGCCCTCTGGTGGCCATGAGTCTCACGGAAGAAAATCTTCAAGCCAGATAGGAAGGCTGGGGGCCAGACTCCATCTGGAGTCCCAGCCCTATTTAGGGCTAACCCACAGCCCCTTTCCCTCCAGGAGGAGCTGTGGTTAACTGAGACACCACGTTTCACCTCAGTCGCGGAATTCTGTAATCTTACACCTGTCAGAGTGTCACCTTTTTCACCCAACCTGATGCTGCTTTGCTGTTTGTGGGTGAAATTCACCAGGGGGAGAGCAGAAGTAGCTGGTGGGCCTTCTGGGCACAGCAACCTTCATAGAGTAGACAGTACACGTGAGGCCCCTAAAGCTCTGCCTTTTCCAACCCTCCACGACTTCCTCCTAAGCCTGCCTCTTGTGTAGCATCTGTTCTCCTCATCCTATCTTCCGCAGTCCTTTAAAGCTTGGGGGCTGGGGAAGCATTCCCCTCCACTCAGGCACTTCAGACATCTGTACCCAATCTGTACCTTATTCTCAAGTCAGTCTCGCTCTCAGAAAGAGCTCGCAGGTTTTCCTTCCTTTTGCTCTGGGCACCGTGACTCCTGGCACTCAGGATAGGTCTTTGCCAGCGTGAGGGCTTAGGTAAGGGGGCCTGGCTAATGGCAAGGCCTAGGAGACACCTCTCTCTTGGGAAAAGCCCTTGCCCAGATACCTAACAGACAACAAACAGCCCCTGTAGAGGAAATGGGGAAGAGCTGAACCTTGCCCCCACTGACCTGCTCAAGCTCTCAGGGAACCATCAGGAAGTCAGTGTGCTTGAGGCTAGAGAGCTGCAGAAGCTCAGGCCCCTCTGGAGTCTAATTGGGTCTCAGAGCTCTGGCATAGGCATGTCAGGGCCCAGAACTGGTAGGGTGACTATTTGCTGGGTGCCACTCTCTGGTTACTGCCATTGCTTCTAAGTGGGGGAGGGGAGGGAGAAGGCCTGGGCTCAGCTGGTCTCTGGTCTGCCAGGAATGACAGGCTGGGCCCAGTGGCATGACATCGTCTCTTGAGCCCAAACAGCCGGTGGGCAGCTGATGGGGCAAGGAGCCGTGGTTTTTCTTAATGGCTCCTATTTCCCAGGGATAGCATCTGTACATGTGCTGTGGCCTGGGCAAGGGAGTCCAGCAGCGGGTTGATCTGCACAGCCCAGAGACTGAATTATGGGGGTCAGGGGTAGGGTAGATGTGGTGGTTTATTAGCATTGGATATGGGAGGTCTCTGGGTTTGGTCACACCCAGTGGCCAGGGACCTTCTTGCCTCTTGGGTGGCCATGGCAGGGTGTCTCTAGCTTGAACAGGTTAGAGTAGCAAAAGGAGGAGAGGTTATACAGCACTCACACACCACTTACGAGACACATAAGTAAGTATGTACTGTCTTACTCACCTGAGTTCAGAATTAAAGCCTAGCTGTTGGCCAGCTGCAGTGGCGAGTGAGGGTGTCAGGGTCACACAAGAGGCCTGGGTTTGGTTCCTGGCCCCACCTGGACAGCCTGGGCATGATGGTGTGTACCAGTGGTCCTGGGTGGCCGAGAGGCTGGGGTGGGAGATTCATGCACAGGTAGATAAGGGAGGCAGAAAATGGCAGCTCTTAGGACCTCCGAATCCTCCCAGTCTCATGCCACTTGTCAGTAGCTGCAACCCTGGTTCTCTGTCCTGGGAGTTAGCATCATGCACCAGCCTTCCCAAACCCCAAACTAAGATGGTCTCATTTGCTTCAATTGAAGTCAGCTCCCTCTCTCCTTCCTGTTCACATCTGATCACACCCCAAGCCTGTGTGTCCTACCACTGTCTCTCCCTTCCCTCCAACTTTTCCTGCTCTACCATTAGCCTTCTAATGTCGACACTGCGATCTCCACAAAACACAAACAGGATCATGTCCTATCACTGTCCTGCTTAAAGTCCTCAGATCTGCTCCAAACGTTGGTACCCTCCGAATTCACATGTTGGAACTTAATCAGCAATGTGATGGTATTAAGAGCCGGGGCCTCCGGGACATGACTATGGCATGCGGGTAGAGCTCTTATGAATGAGATTAGTTTCCTTCTAAAAGGCTCAAGCGAGCCTGTTTCCTCCTTCTGTCATGTGCCTTCTAACACAGAGAAGGCACCATCTGAAGACCAGGCCCCCACTAGACATAGGGTCAATCTGCTGGCACCTTGAACTTTGTCTTCCCAGCCTCCAGAACTGTGAGAGCTAAATGTATGCTAATTATCCAGTGTTTTGTTTTTGTTTTTGTTTTTAATACCAGCAGTAATTTACCAAAGAGCATGTGTGCTTCCCAGGGACAGAGAGGTAGAAAGCACCTCCCTTTTGGACATGGTCATGCCACGACCCTTTCTTCTCCATTTCTCCAGCTTCTTGGGTTTCGAGGCATGCTGCACGTCAACCTGGCGTGCTTTTCTAGTTGGTGGATTAGGGAATTGAACTGTGAAGTCAGCCATGTGGGATCGTGCTCCCTTAACCACTAGGCCACAGACCAGGCCCCAAGATGGGCATTTTTGACAGGGTCTTGCCACACTATGGTTAAGATGTTCCTTCCCTAGCGTTGCAGCCAGCCAGGACCACAGGTGCACACCACCTTGCCCAGCCTGTCCAAGTCGGGTCAAGAACCAAACTAAGGCTTCCCATGTGGCCCCAGGCATCATGCAGCAGTGCCCTTCTGTTTACGCCGCCATAGCTGGGCCAACAGACAGGTTTTAATTTATGGGACTTGCTGTTGAGAAAATCCTGGAGACCAACTCCAGAGGAAAAATGACTGCTAGACTAGCGCAGTCTAAGGTAGCTGTCACAGGGAAAGTGATGGCATTGGTGCTACATATTTGTCATCACTGGCTCCAGGACAGAAGCCCTAGCTTCTCACTCCCTCATGATGCCCACCTCCCTTGGCCTAGCCATACCGAACACCCATGAAGTCTTTATTTATTTATTTATTTATTATTTCTTTCATGAGAGACAGAGAGAAAAACACCCTCAACAGGGTCTCTGAGCCTTTCCAGCCAGCCAGGATCATGGTACACAGCTCGTATGTACAGGTCAACTAGAGAAGCAAACCCACAATCTGGCATATGGACCCAACTCGCCACTGAGCTGCCCACTACACACACACACACTGTATTCTTGAGGCTGCACCCTTTGCAACCAAACCTCCTCTCCTAAGTCAGCAGGTCAATACATACTCCCAAATAGATGTCACTGCTCTTGACCCCCTCTTCCTCTCTCTGTATTCTCAAAGCAGTCTATATATCCCTGTCATAGTACTGAGCACACACCACTACAGTCCAGTCCATCAGGTAGGGAGTCCCTGCAGGCCAGGGACATATCCCCCTTTTAAAGTTTGTTAATGGGCACAGGCACTCACCAGAGAAAGTAAGAAAGCAGTCCCCTTGGGGCACAGTTCCACCGCAATCCCTCTCCTCTCTCTCTCCTGCCTCTCAGGATCTTGGGCATACACGACACATACCTGGCATGTTTCTGAAGCTGCGGTCCAAGACTCAAACCACGCAGTCAGCAGTGTGGGATTCAGCTGTCTTACCACCAGGCCGTGGGCTGGCCCCATAGCCCCTCAGACACCTCATCTATGGCTCCATGACACCTTGTGCGGCACTCCAGTATAGAATTTGCCACGGTCTGCCTTGCAGTTATTGTTACCTCTGTGCACATTCTCCCCATCTAGAGTAAGAACTCCTTGAAGGCAGGGTCCACGGGTCGTTGTGTTCTGGCCTACTGCTTTATGCACTAAGGTTGCTCAATACATTAAATAGATCCCAGTCTGCCCAGTTGTTCCTTAAACCTTCCAACTTCACTGGTCCCCATCTTTGGCTTCCAAGGAGCATTCTCTGAAGGACCAGGGCTATCTGCCACATTGCTTAAATCCCATCCTCTCTGACCATGAGACACTTTCAGGCCGCAGTGGCCAGCTGTTTATATGTTGCTATGAGGGCATGTTTTCCAGGCGATTAA